CTACGACAAAAATGGACAGAATATTGTTTTATAGCTGTCAATTAATTAAGGTTTTTAGATGAGATAAAAAAGTCAGTGTCACGAGCGGGATTTCGAACCCACGATCTTCGGGGTACGCCGCTGCTCTACCACTTGAGCTATCGAGACTTCGACCCACTCGGACACTAACCATCTCAACCACACCATTTGAATTTTCCCACCTTCCATTGTTTTATAGTTTGGCAATCCTTAACAATAAATTATTTATGTATTTTTTTACGAAGGTTTGCAACAGCAGAGGTTATATTAGGACAATTTGTAAGTATGTCGGATTCAAATGCAGGGCCGCTGGATTCGAACCCAGGACCTTTACCTTCCAGTGATGAGCGCCGTGTCAACGCCTAAACCGTTGCGGCTACCGACGCCGCCTAGGAATTTATTGTTATTAATTATTCGTTGTTTATGGTACGATACTAAATAATCGTATGACAAATTGCCGCATGTTTATCCGTCTGATATGAAATCGCTTTAATCGTATAAATCTAAGGGAATCCCTTGCAATTACGCATGCTCATTTACAAATTTCAACTCAAAGTTTCAAGCACCTTTAAGCAGATTCTATTTGAAATATTGCACCAGGGCAAGTGGAAACCTTTTTATTGTGAAGGGGGAGGATATCGAAAGCCTTTCTTTGGTTCCGCGAGGGGGATTAAGGGACAAAGTTTGAAAAGGAACTGGAAACGAAAGTAAGCTCTTGCTATCGTACAGTTCAGTCTCAAATTTAATTTACCCGATAAAGCCCGCACTTTAATCGTCCTTCCAAGTCGCCGCTTGTTAGTCCAATGCGGAAGTGCAAAATTGCATTACCCATTATTATTACATCACCTTGTTTAAAAATTCCTGCTGAATTTCAAGACTCAACGGGATTTTCAAATAGTCTAATTACAGCGAATGTAACTTTAAGTATACTTACAAAATAATTCGACTATTTTTAAGGTTTCAAAAGGGCCGAGATGTAAATGTGAAAACAAGACTTCTTGAACCATACGACAATGCTCCACATAAACATAAGATGGTAAATTTATTAATTTTATATTAATTAAATCTGAGATAAGGCCAGTTGGAAACAAAAGACACAGTTTCCTACGTCAGGCTTTCGAGAAATAAAGGCCTTTGGGACTTTGAATCTAAGTAAAGTAATTCCTGCCGTACATGTCACTCCCTTTAGGATTTCGCGGACGAGCTAAACCTCGGCCACTTTAAATTACTTTTTCCAAATTAATTTTTAAAAAAAATTCCATCGATTAGGCCGGGATTCGAACCCGTAACCAATATCTTGGCAAAGTAAGATAAATAGATTACGTACAAGACTAATTTTTGGATTACATTTATTTTATTTGGAGTTTCATATATCGGTTTCATCTCTGTTAAATTTTCGATTTAAGATTGGAGGCTTTTAGGAACCGAAACATCTCATCCAGCCACCTGGATCGATCATCGAAGAGGTCTGTCATTTTACTGGGTAATTTATGTAAATCTCTGAGATGCTCATAAATGGCCCAGTCCACGAGAATGTGCCTAACATGCCCACCTCCTCAAAATGTCTTGTATCAATTGATTGTTCGAGAAATGATTCCTTAAAGCCATCAAAACCGATAATGAATCAGTGCAGACAACGACGTGATTGTGGGGGGGGAGTATATGGAGGGCTTATCTGCTAGTAGCTCCGCTGTAAAATTACTATTGGGTTGTCCGGAAAATAATGCAGGATTTTGGTATTAAACAAAAAAAAAAAGAAACTAGTTACTTTAAAGCAATGTTCTTTAATCAAAATAATTTCCCATACTCTCAATACATTTCTCCCAACGTGTTGGNAATGAGTAATCCTGTAAACGTAAACAGAATATTTTATATAGATTTTTTTTAATGAAAACTTAAAATCCTGCATTATTTTCCGGACAACCCAATACATAGTAATGGTCTGCGCGTTGGAATTTCACTTTTGTTGGGTAAGTCGTTGTTGCAGGTGAAGGCTTCATTAAAGAGGTGCTTAGGATTAGCCATTATTTTTATGATGTGAGTTAGATCGAGTACTGTATCTTAGTGGGAGCTTACCAGTATCTACGAGTAAATCGATGATGGAAGAATACGCTCATTTTATTTCAGAAGTATAACCTTCATCCTGTTATCCTATACAGTGTAGCCAACACACTTACCCTTTTAGCCCAAATTTACGTTGATTATGTCAGCAATGATGTAATAACTATCAACTATGAAGAAATTATTTAATTTTTGTGAAAATATTTATAGATTACATTTGATTTACATTTTTGGTTTTTTTTCTTTGAGATTTATGCTTAACGTATTAACCAGCAATAGTGGTATTGATATAGTTGTGGGGTCAGAAATTCCATGGGTGACGGAATGGAATCCATGGGGGAGGTCTGCGAGCCGAGAATGTGACGTCCTAACCGCTGTCCCTCGTGGTCCAATGTTTTCTAATTGTTTATTAAATATTTAAAAATTAGTATTATTTGCAATTTGAAATGATTTCACCTGGTACAAAAGAATTGAAGAGGTTCCTTAACATCTCAAAGGAAAGCAAAAATCTCAACGGGAATTCGGGAAAGCTGGAAGTTTTGGGCTTGTTGGGTGGTATGTGTGTTTGCGAAAGGCAGGTCGTAATGGATGGAGACGTTTACGATGGATCCCAATCTGAATAGGAGAGGATCTCGGCTAGTCTCTATACTTTCAAACTTGTACGGCTCGTGTTACAGGTCCTCCCGAACCGTCTATTTTTGTGTAAACTCAAATCAAAAATCGCCCCACTGCCCTGTCGTTAGGCGGTTCAAAAAATATTCTCGAAGTGTGTATACAATTATTGTACTGTCTGGTTTATGTCTGTATTCAAGATTTTTTTGTCTAACGATGGACGGAGCTTGCCGTGTTGCAAAATGGCTTGAAGTTGACCAAAAGGGGTACTTTTTCTTTCAAAACTGCATAAAATCTCTCTAGCCGTTCCCAGTAAAGGTTAGAATTGCTCGATCAAACAAGATCAAACTCCTCTTTTCTTCATTCCTCCCCCCCCCCCCAGAATCGTTTGAATTGAGGAGCAAAATTTTGCAAATTCACAGGTTATTGGGCTTGGTCCGTGAGGTTTCTAGGTCTTAAATTTCGAAGAGCAAGGTTTTCTATACGGCCGTTCACTGTTCAACATGATTTTCATACAACCCATAACCGATTTTTTATAACCGGTGGTTAACCTTAATATTGGGTTGTCCGGAAAATAATGCAGGATTTTAAGTTTTCATTAAAAAAAATCTATATAAAATATTCTGTTTACGTTTNGTATGGGAAATTATTTTGATTAAAGAACATTGCTTTAAAGTAACTAGTTTCTTTTTTTTTGTTTAATACCAAAATCCTGCATTATTTTCCGGACAACCCAATAATACGGATGTGGGTTTGGATGATACTTTATCGGAGTGTATAATAGAAATGGGCAACACCTTGAGGAAAACTGTTTTACTAATTACCTCCCTGTCCCTGCCGGCTGGAAACAAAATACAAATTTGGCGGGTAGCCATATAACCCTTCGCACTGCTGACTGGAGCACAATAAAACTATTTAAAATAATATGTACATATACTAAGTTAAGAGCAGAAATCAGTAAATCTTTTTGCAAAATTAACAATTCTTTAGCTGCGTGATGAGTGTTTGGTGTTCTGTGGTTGACGTCGATCTTGCTGTTATGGTCCGGGCGTTGACGTCTGGGGTCCTTGACGGCCGAGTGTAGTTGTTTGTTGACGTGGCTGTTCGCTGTTGCTCAGGATCTGTGCTGGCTTAATGCGATCAATGGAGACATCCTCTTCCCGTTTGCCCTAATGGTGAAAAACTTGTCGTTCCTTTTAACTGGGAAGGGACCTCGTTATTGTGTTCAAGCCTCTTCTTCCATAATTCGTGTCGTACGAAAAAGTGACTGGCGGTTTGCAGGTCTTTGAAAATAAAAGTGCTTCTCCTCGTGTGCCTTGATGTCTGCGTTGGTCTTAGATTCTGAAAATGTTCTCTTAGTCGCGCGATGAAATATGCGGGGCTGCTTACGGCGTTAAACTTCGGTGTAAAGATTTCTCCAAGCAACAGAAGGGTTTCTCCAAACACCATTTCTGCGGGAGAAGCTTGGTCTTTGTATGCACACCATAATCCTAGCATAACGATAGTCATGTTGTCTACCCAAGATCCATTTTGATGGCACATCACTGTTGCTTTGAATTGCCAGTAAAAGCGTTCCACTGAGCCATTTGATGCAGGGTGATATGCTGTAGTGCGTAAATACTAATTCCAAATAGTCGTGTCAGTGATGAGAATAGTTCTGATTTGCACTGTCGACTTCGGTCAGAAGTTAATCTTTGGGGAACGACATATCGGGAGATCCAAACTGAGAAAAGTCCTCGCGCGACAGTTTGGGCCATAATGTCCTTTAAAGGGAGCGTCTCGGGAAATCGTGAGAAACTGTCTACTTGGTGAGACATTAGGTGTAGTCACGTGAGGGGTGGCAGTGGTCGAATTGTATCTATATGTATGTGTTCGAATCTTTGACTTGGAAGGGAAAATGATTCAATGAACAGGTCTGGTTGTTTCTGAACGATGGCAGTTATGCCACGAGCGGACTCAATTGTTGCAGCCTTTTAGATGGCGCACAGATCGACTGCATATTATATTGCGAATTTTCACGACCCAATTGGTAGTTAGGGGCAGGGTAGGGATTGTTTCCCCAGGTTATAGTGTATTTTGTGCCATCCTAGATAAATATCTTTGACAATATATTCCGAACTATTCGGAAAGTCAATTTGCTGAACAACTCATCGTATCGACGAGTTTCGAATCTGTTTCCAACTTTTAACAAGTTACAATTGCCCATTATGATTGTTGTATTTTGTTGAATTTCAATATCAGACTGTCAACTGTGACACCAGACAATATTAAGAAAGCTCAAGCTATTATTGTTCTTCAATCTGTTTCAGTTAAGCCCATAAAAGCGTCGATAATTAACGATAGCCTTCCGGCGAAACTTTCCGCTGATCAACTTTACGAAATTAGATGCGAAACTTATGGCTCTCGGCCACCGGCGAAAATCACTTGGTGGAAGGACGACAAACCGCTGAAAAACTATATCCAAAAGGTAACACTGCTATAAATTTTTATTTTTTTATAAATTATGTTACTATTGTAATTGGATATTTTTTTAATTTAATCTTGCAATTCCTGAAACTCAGCATGAAAGTGAAGTTAAAGTCAACCGTGGTACGCCTCATACATAATAAGTACCTTATGTACGACCCTACACATCTTTAATTAATTCGAAATGGACTAAATACATGATAAAAAAATTGTTTTCTGAGTATAAAACTCACAAGCCAAAATGGCCAACTCTGTTTCACAATGAAAACATACATTTTCATGTTTTAATGTCAATTAATTGTAAGTAGTAGTTGGTTTATTTATGAGAAGGCTAACTAACAGCTACGATCATCGGCCATTTGCGCATAAGACATATTCTTTCTTGACTCGATGTCATTCAGAAGTTTGAGCGTCTTATGTTTCAGGTAACTGATACTCTGCTAAAAATATGTTTCTGAGATAGCTTTTTGTTGTAATGTACCGTAATCTGTACGTTTCGTCCTTTATTCGGGTCATCTTCAGGGCATAAAGTGTGGTGCTATTCTTGTGGTGTCATATTGGTTTTGTGGGAAAGTGTTGTGTCGTTTCTTACAAAACCAATATGACACCACAAGAATAGCTCTACACGTTGTGCCCTGAAGATGACCAGAATAAAGGTCGAAACGTCGGCAAAAAAATGAAAAAGGTGTTTTCTAAACTATCTCATTCTTGACCGCTTCACACGACTTCAACAAATTATGAAACAATAGATCACTAAGAAACACAAATTTATTTTTTACTTTTAATAATATTTGTAATTTATGTTATAGGGCTCTGAATATGGCAACATGACCGTCTCAATTTTGAATTTCACCCCACTGGTTGAGGACAACGGAGTGAAATTGGTGTGCAGAGCGGAAAACCCTTACCTTACAGGTGCGACTGTGGAAGCATCTAGAAAAATCGACGTTTCGTGTAAGTTCAACAAAAATTTGCTTTCCCCAGAAAGTACAAAAGAATTGTATATTCCTTTAGTATGTTTTTTAATGTTTAATTCTAAGCTAACGTGATTTACACGCCTAATAAGCAAGCACTATCTTTGTGTTTAAGTCGAATAAACACAAAGTCCCAGCCATTCTGGGAGCTAGTAGCGACAAGTTTAATTTCATTCACTCTGATGTGACTCTAAAGAATGTGATTTAGATTTTCAATAGACTTGAATAGTTAAATGCGACTTTAAAAAATGAAGCCATAAAAATGTTTCATTTCACATTAATGTTAATGGTCTGAGCAATCAAATCTGGGATATCTGTCCGGTATTGTACGAGTAGTTGAATGGTTAAGATGCATTCGATTTTACAAGGAGGCAATCATTTTAAGAATTCTGCCGTGATTTTAATATCAATTTATTTCACTTTTGTAGAGATTTTACACAGCAAATAACGGTTTTTATTTTATTTGTTTACTTTTTTATTAATTTTCTCCTTTTTGTAAAGTGCGTAATTTTTTGTGGACAAAAAAGCGTTACCGGGAAATACTGCGTGAGCAGTCAGTGCGTAGAGTGCGTATACGGAGCCATTGCGTAGAGTGCGTATGCGCAGTCATTGGGTAGAGTACGCACGCGCAGACATTGCGTAGAGTGGGTATGCTCAGATATTGCGTACAGTGCGTAGAGTGCGTATGCGCAGCTATTGCGTAGAGTGCGTATGCGCAGTCATTACGTAAAGTGCGTATACGCAGTCATTGCGTAGAGTCTGCACGAGCAGACATTGCGATGAGTGCACATGCGCCAGTTGCAAAAACAATTTTTCAAATTCAAATTTGTTAATGGTAAATTCGAAAGTGAACGGAAAAAAATCGGGAGAAACGTTTTTATTTTTAACATGGATTTGTTTTAGTGCTAGACACAGAAAAAAAAATCGCTACTTCATTTGCCATACATAAAAGCAATACCGGGAAGCGCGCATTCGCCTTAAATGCGAGGAGTACACGCACGCTCAGTGTAATTTTTGAATTTAAAAAATACGTTTACACTCTCGTTATGTGGGATGTAGATGAAATAAAAAAAACACATAGTTTAATATTTTTATGTGAAGATGAAAAGATTTTATCTCTCTTTGAAGGATGAAATTTCTTCTTAGCAAAGCTCATGAATTGATTAAAATCCTAACAAAGATTTAATAATACCAAAGCCGTATTACTCCATGATTATTATGTTGTTTCTTCAGCTCTTGTAAGAGTACTGTGAATAAGTATTGAAACTGAAATAAATTTTTCTCTGTTTCAGACGTCCCTCGTGTTAAACTCGAGCTGGGATCAAAGATGAACCCGGACGACATAGAAGAGAACGATGGAGTCTACTTCGAATGCATAGTCGATGCTAATCCCCCAGCTTATAAAGTTATGTGGAAGCATAATGTAAATGCAATCAATCATTAACCGATCCCTTTCAGCCGAACAAAGGGAATGGCTAAAAGTCCTGGTTGTTTCAGAATAAACTGTTGCATAGTCATAAAGCAGACGGCATCATTATTAATCACAAGGATCTGGTACTTCAGGAAGTGAAGAAAACCCAAGCGGGCAACTACACATGCGGGGCCGCTAACGAAGAAGGGGACGGCTACAGCAACATCGTCCACCTCAAAGTCATGTGTGAGTAACAATCACTTTCATTTATTTTTAACTTAAATTTGTCTTGGTTCTATCAGCAATGATCATGTAGTTGGAAAGTGTTAAAAATTTATTGAACAAGAGCAAAAAGCATTTGGCAACTCATATTCATCTGATACCATAAATAGTTTTATTTATGAACGTGCTGTTTTTTTAAATTGATGAACAAAACAGGCACTTTTTTTAACCAGTAAATAAGACTGTTTATTACTTTATTTTGACAAGTTATTTAATTTTCAAAAAAGTGAATCTGGCAAGTACCCCAAGTCCCAGTTCAGCATGATTGTGTTCACCGATTCACTGACCATGATCCATCAACTATTAGTAATATTGTCCAAAAAATTATTTCATATAAAAAGTTTAATAATTATAATATTTTCGTTGATTTTAAGGTTAGACAACCTTGCCTACTTATATTATCAAAACCCCTACATATTATGCACTCTTCTCAAGAAAAAAAATTAATAAATTTAAATAAAAATTGGTATGCGTGTTTGTGAATGTTTGTTAAACAGTTATGGCTAATAAATTTATACTAACTGAGGATATTTATGTTTGACAAGAATTTGAAATTTAAAAAAAAAATCTGTCCACTGTTTTTAACTTTAACCCTTTTTTTTATCATAAACTGTAAATTGTTTTTTACAAACCCTTAACTATAACTATTTCAAAGCATAAAAAAAAATCTGTCCACTGTTTTTAACTTTAACCCTTTTTTTATCATAAACTGTAAATTGTTTTTTACAAACCCTTAACTATAACTATTTCGAAGCATCTGTTCGATGATTACATAAATTCTTTATGAAGATCGGTTGATAAAATTCAGTGAAAACATACCAGAAAAGGCAAAAACTAGAAAAGTCTCATTTCGAGCTTTTAACTTTTCAGTAACAAAAAATAAATAAATATAAGAATTGGCCGATAATGGACAAAAACGAAGGCCTTCTACATTTTCCAACGTCACCACTGGAAACCTGTTGCTAAATCCAGCCGAAAGGGTGGAAACTGGAAATAGCCTCCAGGCGAAATCCGACAAAAGCCGAAAAGCTTGAAAGAAGGCAAAAGAGAAGAAAAGACGAGACGGTTAATAAATCGGGTTAATGGCAGACAATACCAACATTATATTATCATGGAAAAAGACCCTTTACCAAAAAATAAAAATAAAATAAAATCGATTTAAATAAAATGTTATGTGCGCGTTTACGAATGTGTGAGAGAAAGTTATGGCTCAGGAAATTATTTTAAATAAGTAAGACGTTTTAATTTTGAGAAAAATTTGAAATTTGAAAAAAAATCTGTCGACTTTTTCTAACTTTAAACTTTTTTCTCATAATACTGAACATTATTTTTACAATTCTTTGCAAATACCTACTCCAAAAAATCTACTTTATGATTATAAAAATGTATTAACTAAATCGTTTGATCAAATTCTGAGAAAAGTGCACTTTTATGATTTTTCAGGAGAGGCAAAAAATTTCTAAATTGCGTTCGTACTTTAAAAACGTTTCAATGAAATCGTGGGCTTTCCTCGACGGTTGAATCAATAATCTTCTTTAGTCAAGATGTGTGGTGATTAGTGACCGTAAATCGATATTTATTTAAAAATCGTGAGATGCGGTCTGGTGTGATGTAGGTTTCAGAAAAACATTTTCTTTATCGTGCCTACGTTTCGATCTCTATTGAGATCATCTTCAGGGCCTGGGATTTACAAACATGGTTTACATATAACAATTACATTTTGGATGTGGAAAAGTGAATTTATACAATGCAAAATATATTTTTTNAGATGATCTCAATAAAGATCGAAACGTTGGCACGATAAAGAAAATGTTTTTCTGAAACCTACATCACACCAGACCGCATCTCACGATTTCTAAATAAATAAAAATTTAGTCAAGATGTTGCCAAAAAAAGCACAAAAATCGAGTACCAAAGCCACAAACTTGGAAGACATATACGAAAAGCTTAATGTCTTTATATAGTGCTGGTTCTAAAAAGATGTGACATAAATGATAATGAAAAAGTAATATACATCCTCCAAAAAGGAAAAAAGTGAAAACTCGTTTCTTCCTAAAGTTAATTTCAATAATTAAAAACAATATTTTCAGTACTTAAATTTTGTTTCTGAAAACGTTATCAAATGCAAAAACCTTCAAGAATGTTTTAAACAAATAAAACATAATCAACGTTGAATAGACGTTTGGCAGGGGCGTCGGTGGCCGCAACGGTTTAGGCGTTGACACGGGGCTCATCACTGGAAGGTAAAGGTCCCGAGTTCGAATCCAGCGGCACTGCATTCAAACCCGACATACTTACAAATGGGCTTTTTTTTTTAAAAACACCGGCACTCTGAGAGTTTATATGACCTCTGCTGTTGCGAACCGCCGTAAAAAAAAGACGTTTGTTCTTTTATGCCCTTAAAGCCATGAGAGACTCGCAAGGAGAATATTTCCCCCAGAAGTATACTTTATAGATTCAGGAAAGCAGAAGTTGGAAAATCATTCCTTCCTAATTTAATGACAATCTTGTTTTAAAAAAGTTGGATAATGTGGACGAGAAGTTGGGTATTTACGTGTAAATTGTTCCAGTCCGTGGTATAGGGAAGTAAGTAGTTTCTCGGTTCGAGTTTGGTGCAACTTTATAATATACTTATTCCCTTGTGTGTCTTCTCTTGTAAAACGTTGGGTAGTTGTAGAATAAGGGTTGGGCGGTTTTCCGAGGGACGTCGGAGGGTGGGTGGTCTCACCCTTGCAAACGGCGTGTCTTGCGAACAATGCATACACAATTTCTCCCTCCGTCTGAATGCCTTCCTTGCCACACGTGAAGACAATATTTAAAACGGAGTAGACAATTTTTCAATCTCTTATTGTCGGGTTTTTAAACGTCAAGAAATTATTAAGGTGCCTTTCTGTCACGTGGCCTCGCTGTAATTCGATGCAGCTAATTACACAGGACAAGAAAACTGTAAAAAACTGTAAAACTATTTAAACTGTAAAATTATACAAGGGCAACCAGAGCAAAACTTTCCAGGGATGTGAAATGTTATCGCTGAAGAGGGGACAAGAAGTCTTGAGATATATACGATGTACAAAAACTAATTGGTTGTTGTAGTTTCCATGTGTTTAACTAGACTGACAATCAATAGAATGAACAACAACTTAAGGAAGAAAATACAGATACAACTACTATTGAAATTTTTTTAAAGTTTGGATGAAAAATTAATACATGGTTACAAACAAGCGCTTGTCGGACAATCACTCTTCTGGACATGTGCACTTTATCTTTTCCGGAACAAATACTGCTCTGGGCATATGGATCGTATCCTGTCCCGAACGAGTACTGCTCTGGGTATGCGCATTTTACACTGTTCCGAACAAGTTCTCTTCTAGGCATATGGATCGTATCCTGTTCTGAACAAGTACAACTCTGGGCCTACGCACTTTATACGGTTCCGCATACGTACTGTTCTGGGAATTTGCATTGTATACTTTCCTGAACAAATACTGCTCTGGGCATATGGATTGCGTCCTTGTTCCGAACGAGCACTGCTTTTGGGTATGCGGACTTTATACTGTTCCGAATATGTACTGCTCTGGGCCTGCGCACTTTATACTGTTCCAAACAAGTTCTGTTCTAGGCATATGCATTGTATACTTTCCTGAACAAATACTGCTCTGGGTATATGGCTTGCGTCCTTGTTCCGAACAAATACTGCTTTTGGGTATGCGCACTTTATACTGTTCCGAATAAGTACTGTTCTGGGCATATGCATTGTAACTTTCATGAACAAAAACTGCTCTGGACATATGGATTGTATCCTTGTTCCGAACGAGTACTGCTCTGGGTATGCGCATTTTACACGGTTCCAAACAAGTTCTTTTCTAGGCATATGGATCGTATCCTGTTCTGAACAAGTACTGCTCTGGGCCTGCGCACTTTATACGGTTCCGCATACGTACTGTTCTGGGCATATGCATTGTATACTTTCATGAACAAAAACTGCTCTGGACATATGGATTGTATCTTTGTTCCGAACGAGTACTGCTCTGGGTGGGTATGCGCACTTTATACTGTTCCAAACAAGTTCTTTTCTTTGCTCTGAGCATGCTCACTGTACAAGTGAGTACCGAAAACGGAAAACGTTATTATAGCTACATTTGCCGAACCGACTGCAAATGGCAATCATCAGCATCCATGACTAGAAATCCGTAAATGTTAACTTCACATTTATACGTTATAGAGCATTAAGTTCACAACATAGAAAATTAGTAGGCAATCGTCTTCCCTCATCCCAGAATTAAATAAAATATTTAGGCATGACTCTAGATTTAAAAAAAAAATTAAAACGGAAAGAACACTTTACAGGTTGCTGGGAAGTAATTCCCATCTGTCAGTATTAAGTAAAACCTATACGGATGTATGGTACATTACTCTGGGGTTTTGCCAAAAAAATAATACTATCCATAATAAACGCTTTCAAAATGAAGTACTACGAAATATGGTAGATAATACACAATAGTGATATACACAGAAACCTGAACATTTCTCAACACTGATCACATTATTATACTTCTATCGTTTCTCTTTTTTACACTAGTTTACTAACAAATTAATATTTTATTTGTTATTATTGACGATTATCTAGGAATCGAGAACTGCTAATTTATTTTTTATTATAATACAAAGTTCTGACGACAACGGGGCGGTAATTTTGCTTAACGTTGTACCGCTTTTACTCAACATTTTTTAACCAGATTTGATCATTTTCAAAATATGTTCAGCTTTAGTGTCCATCTCGGCTCAAGTCCCTTAAGTCCCTTTATTAAAATTGTACCCGTGCAGTGATAGCCTGAGTGGACTGGCTTTCAAACGGTGCCGCTGCGACTTGCGGGTGAGCCCGTCTCAGGCATTTCTCTGCTGGAGAAGCCGGTTGAATAATAAATGCCGGTTATGAATTCTTTCTCTTTCCGGAACAAGAGCCGGAATCAGTCTAGTGGAAAAGTGCTCGATTCCACCGCTTAAACAACGCCAACATTTACCCTCGACCGCATGGTGACTTGATTTGTGTGCTGATATTCTAATTTTAATTATTTGCTCGCTTTGGTCATAAGTTACGGCAGTACAGAGGAGACAATTAATTTTATACATTGCTTTTAACTTCGGTTTGTATAACTTTTTTGTGTTGGGTTGTTCCATTTCAGACCAGACGGTTTTCTGGAAGTAAACTAAATAAAATCTAACTTATCTATAGCTCTAAGTTGTCGCCTAAAAATCCTACGAGTAATTTCTTTTTTTTCCCTATTCAGATAAACCCGTCTGCAGAGAAGATCAGAAACACGTTTTCGGCGTGGCGAGGAACGAAGACGCCAGGGTCATGTGTGAAGTTGACGCCTTCCCCCCGCCGGACGACTTCAAATGGAGTTTTAATAACTCGGCTGAAAGCGTGGAAATTTCCCCGAGCAAATACCACAATTCGCTCCAGCTCTCCCTCTCGACCCTCTCATACACCCCGAGGACGGAAATGGATTACGGAACTGTCATGTGTTGGGCGTCGAACACCGCCGGCCCTCAGAGAACGCCTTGCGTCTTCCACATCATACCAGCAGGTAAGTTTTGACGTTCAAACCCCTTTTCCGGTTGTCAAAACAACAACGAGCGAGTACATTTCCATACTTTTTTATTAACCTTGTGTCATTTTATGTTTATCTACTTTTCCGCTACTAACAACAATTCTTATGCACTTTTCCATTTCAGAAAAAGAGGCAAACAAATACCTAATTTACATTATACTTTCTTAGTTAAAACTTTTACTAAGCAATTGTTTAATTTGTTTAACCAATGATGTCTGCAGAAAAAACAAAATCCATGATAAAACAAGCGATATCCATTTGCACTTGAAAAGCTAGGTGCAGAGGTGTACAAACTATTCAAACCCGACGATAAACAGCATAGGCGAACTTCACGAATGGAACATCGACCCGTTCGAGATAGACGGTGTTTACGGGGAAAAACAAATACATCCGAAACCGCGCTATTAAACTCAACAACGATCATTTGGGAGATGACGAACGGTCATAAGCTGTAAAAACTGGACACCACCTCGCATCGAATTACGGGAAAGTTTTGTGTCGGACCGTGATGGCCAACAACGCTTAGACCCCTGCTCTCATATAGAACTGTTAACCCTACTGTTGGCCAAAAATTCTGCAAAATAAGACATAAAATCAATTATAAAAATTGGCATGTCTTAATAACCTAGATACAATGTATACTTGCCTATCAGTCTCTCAGAACAAAAAGAAATAAAGCCTGGCCTAAAAGAAAGCAGAAAATAAAATGATTAAAAGGATAGGATCTTATTAGTGTAAATAGATGGATCGAAAATGGAACGGGAAATGAGGTTTGGGGTTAGAGGCCCAAATTTTGACCTAGCAAAACTTCTGGGCTCGACACCATCAATTTCCCACGATGAGGTCCAGGCACAGAAAATACATAACATGGTATGAAACAATAGATTTTTGTAAGATTTTAACTCGTGTAACTCAAATAAAGAAATGTCAAGTAAGATCTTCAACGCCCCCTTCTTTTCTTAGCTTGTTAAACGTTAATTTTACCGCAATGCTGCGCGTGGCGATTGGTAGAACCAAAAATAAAGCTATAACAGTCCTTGAAGGCTCGTTGTTGTTTGTTTTGGTTTTCTTTTGTGTTAAATTGTAAGATGCCAGAAATTAATAAAAAAGGAAAATTAACTCTTTCATTCAAAATGCTATTTATACACTCGAAAAGTACTAACAAATGACACGCTTCATTTCGTGCCGACGTACCTAACCTGCATCCTAACGTGTAACTGCCTACAACTTTATATGACAGGGGGTGTATCTATTATGAATGAGAATATAAGGACAGGTCAGAAAGTAACAAAAGAAATGTATTGGTCTGATTTAATTAATGCGAATTTAAGAATAAAAATACGTATAAACAAAAAACAGATGTTAAATTCATGGCTGCCATGTTGGTTACCTACGCCATAACGGCAAGCAAAGTGACTACATTTTCGACCTAGCACCTAACATTGGCCCTGGCCTGTTAGATCGAGCAATGTTAACCAGCCGATTCTAACAAGTCTACGTCATCATTTTTCTCGATATAACAGGACCTAACAGACTTAACAGGGTTAACACAAAGATCGTTAATACCCCTAATATATTTCGTAGGATTGGGAATGTGGTCCAATGAATGTTCTTGGGTTGAAACTACGTGTTGGGGGGAGGGGTCTTTCTAAATAATTGAAAGGACAAATTTCCTTACCCGGAGCGATAGATGCCGTCTATAGCCGATCAAATGGGTTTCCCACTTCTGTAATCGGTTGAGAGGATGAGGATGATCTAGGAGGTAGCGGAGAAAATATATAAAGAATTAAAATGAAAATTAATAAATAGGTGTTAATGAAATTAATATTGAAAATGACGAACAATTTAATTAATCCTTTTAGAAATTATCTGAAGCAATGTAATATTATCGTTTCACGTGAGAGTACAAAGTAAATGAAATAAAACTAACATGCAATATCTTCTGCCGAATAAAACACTCAAATTAAAATAACAAATGGGGTATAATCAAACAAAATAATGAGTAAATTATAATAAATTAAAATCTAACTTGTAAATCAAAATATAGTAATCGACTAAGTAACAAAAGTTGACCATGAAAAAATACCGGTTCCGGATAATCTTAGGTCAAATTTGAATTTAATCCATTTTATCGAATATGAACAGAAATTAACAAAAATAAGTGAACTATTAAAATTTTGTAACAAAACTAAACAAAATAATCTAAGATAAGGGTGTGAATAATATGAAATTAATAATTGTTCCTTAAATTATCCCCTGCGCATATTTGAGGAGAAAGAAAAAAAATTATTAAGCAACCTTGCATGCAAAATTATAACGAAAAAATAAATACAGATTTTGAAGTACGATGTCGATGAATGGTGGGTTCACGTTGATGGATCGATGGATGAATGAGATTCGAAGTCCTGCGAAATTCCGAAGATGACCTGGAAGCGAAGGTCGAACGAAGTTCCTGCTTCTGTTGGTCGAGCAGCGAGATTTTCTGCCAGTGATTCTCACTATTTTGGCTAATTCGAGAACAGGCGAAACCAATTACTCGGGACGATGATTTCCCCGTGTATCGACAAAGTTCTCCCCTTTTTCCGAAGACAAACGAACGAAAAAATGATGAAAAAGGGTGAAGCCGAAAAAAACAAAAATGGAGTCGAAGTGGTCAAAGCCTGAGAACCGAATGATCTTACCGCGGAGCGGAGTGTTATTGTTGTTCGAAGGCGGATTATTTCGGTCAACAACTGGTACATTTAAGCGTTATCTATTTCTCTCTACGCCCAACGATAAATTTAAATTCATTAACAAAAACTTATTTTACATATTTTAAAAAGGGTTTAAAATAAATTGAATTGGGAAAAGGGGAATGAAAGGAAAAAATATAAAAGAAACATTTTCTTGAAAATTTAGTACCTTTAAATATTAAGAAAAATGCACGAGCTCAAACACTACGCCAAGCTTTCCGTGTTTTATTTCACCTTCCTCAGGACTCTCAAACGGGTATATAAACTTGTAATATTTTATCAAATAGTTCCACCTCGAGGACCACTAAAAATATTGTTGAATAACAGCTGGTCGATCACCTTTACATCATGGTACTGAAAGATAGGCAGATATTTCAGACAACTCTGCTGGGTTCAGGGTTCCACGGCGATATTCGGGCCTTTCCTGGCTCTATCCCTCTTCCCGAAGTATAAATTTTCTTAGCTCCTTCCTTTAATAGGCCTTTACGAACCATCGTCATCATTGCATTATCCAGTCCATTCTATTCAAATCCTCTTTACACTACTGAAATGCCCGCTCATCTCCCTGTGACCTAATCCTTCCCCGGTATAAAACATGCACCTTTAAAAGGTCTTTCCTTGTCCGAGCACCAAAATTCTGGAACTCCCTCCCCCCAACTATCCGCAATGCCGCTACCCTTACCTCTTTTAAACATTTCCTGTACACGCACCTCTCTCCATCCAAACAGAATCGATTTAACCACAGTTTAAATTTACCCAATAATTATTATTTTTAATATTAATTTTCAGAGTGATTCCCTTTAGTTCAACTCCTTTGGGTTTTGTTTTATATAAGTACGTTGTTATTACGTTGATCACCATGACAATGTTTATTTTTGTGTCGAAATATTAATCATTTTCACTTTAACCTATGTGTTATTGATTTTAATGAGACACTCCAGTCCCAGAATAATTATTTTTCTTCTTCATCTTCTTCTTCTTCTAAATGGGTGCCGGAACATGAAAAAGTCTGAAGGCACATGCTAGCAAACAAACAAAAGCAGCCCTCACAATCTTTCAAGTACACAAGACACACTTCAAAGTATGCTACAGCGGAATCGGACAAATAAAAGAGAAATAAATAACTATACAATGAATGAATTTACCAAAACGATCATAAAAGTTTCTTAATATCTTAACCAGGACAAAACATCTACCTTTCTTAGTAGGCAGATAATGAGGAAAATTATAAATCTATTTACTGGCAACCTCTCTGCCATTCATCCGCACAGAAATTGGAAGAAATGCCCCATCGAAACGGCGCCCCGAAAAAATGCTTTCCCTACCATAAGTGAGTAGCTTTAAAAACTATTCCCAAGACAATATGTTGAACATTGGACCTATTAACTTATAAAAAGGCTATTTTAATTTAGAAGAATACTCCGATTTGTTTCAAATCAAGGCTGGCGTAGCACACGGTAGGTAAAGAAAAAGAATTCCTGACATACAGGAGGGTTTAACTCCAATGGTTGTGGTTGTCACGGACGAGGGGACAATGATTTTTATAAATTAATCTCATGTGTAATAGTCATCTGGATACGAAACTGTTAAAAAATATTTCAATTTTGAAAGGAAAATTAGGGTACGGTTGTAAGTAAGCGTTCCAGTAGCGCGTTTTCGAAACCTGTTCTGAACAAGTACTTGCCTGCGCAAGCGCACTGTATCCTGTTCCGAACAAGTATTGCCCATCGCAATTCCACTGTATCCTGTTCTGAACAAGTACTTCCCTGCGCAAGCGCACTGTATCCTGTTCTGAACAAGTATTGCCCATCTCAATTCCACTGGATTCTGTTCTGAACAAGTATTGCCCATCTCAATTCCACTGGATTCTGTTCCGAACAAGTATTGCCCATCGCAATCCCACTATATCCTGTTCCGGACAAATACTGTTGACTACTGTATACCAATCATAACACTTGTTGCACTGTGTATGAGCTCTGTTTCCTGCTCCAAAATTGGTCGGGATTTGCAGCTGAAATAAACCTGCTGAGTTAGTAGCAGTATGAGTTAGTGTTTGAAAAGACAAATTCGAGGTCGACGATTAGAGTATTTATTGCATTATAATATTTGATAGCCTGTGTAAAAATAATAAATGGTAGCATTTAGTTATAGGAAAAAAATTTGAGCGATGCATAAAAATTACAATAAATCTTTGAGTAATGTCCGGTGAGATTTTGCTTTGCATTCACAATTCGCTCTCTCTAAATGTATTATATATTGGCGTAAATGTTATTGATTGATGTTGTTTCTCGCAGGGCGACCTGACACACCGTTTAACTGTTCTGTGATGAACTACTCTGCGTCTTCCTTGGACGTGGACTGCATCGAAGCGTTTGACGGCGGGCAGCCTCAGAGGTTCCAACTTCAAATTTTCGACGGAGTCACCAACACGTTAATCGCGAACAAGACATCCCGGCGGGCTTCTTTCTACGTAGGCGATCTACCGTCGGGTTCTTTCTTCAAGATGTCACTGTACGCGTTCAACTCCAAAGGTAGAAGCGAAAGCGTCAATATCGAAGGGCGTACAATTAAGGCGACCGCCAAACCCTCAGGTAAAATATTCAAACATTAATCCTCTAAATCTTCATTTTCCTTGAATAAAAAGAAATCTGTTAATTTCAGAGAGCCAAGTGCCGTTCGCCGTCACACCGGTCGTCGTAGTTTTGATGGTTGCCTTAGTCGTCCTCATAACCTGCGCAGTAGTTATATTTGGTGCACTTCGCATTAGAAGCAGTGTCTCGGCTCCGGCTCAAAACCAAATAGAAAAAGTCAAGCAGTCTCCGTCCAGCGACGTTCACGACAAATATTGCATCGATGATAACCCAGATATCATCCCTTCCAATAAAGGTGACACCTTGGAAAACCTGTCTGCGTTTTCTCAATTTTTGAAAGGATTTTTTCACTTTGGTTTTAGAGTCCAAGTACCAAATGCCGGCGGAATCGGCTCTTCCTGCCAAGGTTAACCAAGCTCAGTTCCTCACCATCGACAACATGGTTTATCATGAAGTCCCGCATGCCAACGAATCAGTCGATAACTTTAATCAGAGATACCGTGCAGCAGCTCTCCAAGTAAAAATACATTTTATACTCTATGTATTATTTATTGTTAGTTATATTACTAGATATGTATGTATATATATATGACCTGAGAGATAGAAGAGAGAGAAAGCAGTCGAGAAAATTGTCTACTTTGTTTTGTAAGATCCTCGAGTTGGAACCTGCTTGTATTTGTTCATATGTTTTTCCCACCGTCGACACAACATAAAAAGATGGTTAATTCATTTGGTCGTTGCCGATCATTTTGTTATTCCTGATCTCGCTTTGTTGGTCAGTCAGACGCTTTTCGGCATTCGCCATCTTAGGTGCTGGTTTTGTGTTGAGGATTGAGTTAATTTATTTTTTTATGTTATTGTTACGGTCTGTAATTATAATCGTCGGTTTGTAGGCTGACCAAAACGATAAAAAAAACACTGAAGATGACCCAATGACGACCTGATTTCGTCTCCGCACTTAACACGAGAAATGTCACAATTTAACTTTTAAAAAGACAAGCAGACTACATTGATTCCAGTTGGAACGACCCAAAATTGCCCACCCATCGTACAAAAACTGGCTCAACCATACGCTTGAAAAACTACTACATTTGTGTTAAAAATACAGTTTTAAAGCATAGACTGAGGTGTAATCCTACTCTTCTGATTTTAACATGTATATGTTTGTGACCGGGATATTTTTATGTAACCCATTTCGATTTACAGATTGCGCATGGGTTAGGTGAGGTTAGGTTTGGAATTTTATGGTTAGATTAGAATAGGTTGGGTTAGGATTAGATGGGGGATTAGGGTTAGGGTAGGTTGTGTTCTGGTTACGTTAATGTTGGGTTAAGACAAAACTTGAGCTGAGGGACGGATTAGTTATTAGAGTTTGGTGAAATGTTATGCTAGGGTAAGGTTAGGACCAGGGTTGGTGTTAAGACGGTTAAGACGGTAAGGTTTAGGTTTTTTATACCATGTTCTCTCAGAGTATTTGGGAAAAGGTAAACAAAATGTATTTAAGAATAGTGCATTTTCTGTTCACGTTCATTGGTGTCTAGAACCGAAATTTCGATTTTGGTTGTAATCGCCGACCGACCTGGGGACTAAATGCCGAGACCGCAGCTTAGGAAAAGCTTACTCTTTGATGAGATTCGGAGCGGATTATTTACATTAGCTCCTCAACCTCAAACAATCGACTTGAATAAGAACGTCGCATCATTTGACCCGAGGGATCATCGGTACCCTGGTTTTAGAAGGGTGAATTTTTTTGTTTTACTTTTTATTACAATGTACAATTGAAAATTACAATAAAGGATATACATAATTTATATATTTTATTTGCATTGAAGGGAGGAAAGAATGTTTTACCATTTTATTTCATTTCACTGGTTTATTCAAGTATTTATTAAACTTATTCCTCAGAAAAGAGGTCACGCGGCCATTCTTGAAACGCCTGGTAGGACTGTCGGGATGGGATCTGTTGGACACGGCATGGGCAGGACTATCGGGATGATGGGGTAGTATTACAAATATAGTATGGATAATTCATATTTATCTGAGGACTTTGGGTTGCATAAGAGAAATTTAGAGGTGCCCCACTGCCGTACGTACAAATGGGATGAGATGGTCGTTCCGTTAGTTTTCCCATTTCCATCGTCTGTAGCCTTAAGTCGACCCTGTCCTGGCCGTCTAGTGTGAAGCCCTGTTTCTCTGTAGTGCGAAGAACCTTCCTATTGTAGAATGATTTACACTCAGCCTCCTGGCGACTTCTCGCTGGCTGTATCCTTCCTCTAATAATTCTAAGACCCTGACGCTGTCATACTCACCAAATGCCTGAATGGTCCCATTGAAAAAAGACTTACGAATAAGAATAATGTGTGGTGATTAGTGACCGTTAATCGATATTTATTTAGAAATCGTGAGATGCGGTCTGGTGTGATGTAGGTTTCAGAAAAACATTTTCTTTATCGTGCCAACGTTTCGATCTTTATTGAGATCATCTTCAGGGCCTGGGATTTACAAACATTGTTTACATATAACAATTACATTTTGGATGTGGAAAAGTGAATTTATTATTTTATTTATTTATTTTTGCATTGTATAAATTCACTTTTCCACATCCAAAATGTAATTGTTATATGTAAACAATGTTTGTAAATCCCAGGCCCTGAAGATGATCTCAATAAAGATCGAAACGTTGGCACGATAAAGAAAATGTTTTTTTGAAACCTACATCACACCAGACCGCATCTCACGATTTCTAAATAAATAAGAATAATAACAAATGAAATTCAACGTAGGAAAAAGATTAACTGAACGAGATCTTTAGGCGTAGCAAAATGGAAGGGCATAATGCTACTTTTTTGAGCAAATGAGATTAATCAGTACAAAAGCAAACAAAGGAAGTAAACAAAGCATTATTTACTATTTATTTGACTACGATAGCTCCTAATTACATGTAATTAATGTAGAAAGATAATGGATTTAAGATTAAACCAAATAAATTAGTGGTGCCTTTCATTTGTCCATCGCTGTATATACTAACTCATTGAGGGTCGATGGTGTACTCAATATTCCGCTATTGGCATTCTCACACTACACATTCGTGCTAATAAATATATCCACTCTCCACACTCACTAAGGAACATAAAACTTTCTGTATACAATAAAACAACCTTGTTTCCTGCAAGAATCGGAACAGGATACACAAATGCTTTCTCCAGCACGATTCTCATATCGTGTGACATTCCTACACGCTCTCTATATGAAAGCAAGGAATAACATTCTTCAATTAATCGAGCAACCTGGTTTTCAGTTCACCAAAAGTGTATCAACCTCGCATGGCCTGTGGTTAATCGAGTGAGGGTGAACCCTCTTCTATCCTCCGATGGCCACATGTCGAAAGTGCTCTTGAGCTTGAGCGAGAGCTTCTTTGCCGATCCGGCCTACTGAGGCTGTCACGTTTTTTAATCATGTTATTTATTGTATTTCTAGTGTCAGTGGGCCGAATCGCGGTAGATAAGTCCAGGCCTTAGGCGCCTTGTCCAACAAAACAAAAAAACCGTCGCTAACCTACAATTCATGTCTTAACCCAGCATAAACCTAACTATAACAGGACCTAACCTAACACTAATCTGTTAATCACCTAGCCTAGCCCAACCCATGTGCACTCTGTAAGGTGAAAACGATTACTCGGAAATGATAAAATCGAGGCCGCCAATATAAAATTCATGTTAAAATCGAAATAATATAATTATATTTTCTTAGGCTATGATTTCAAAATGAGCGTATTTATTAAGGCGAATGTAGTCGTTTTTCAAGAGAATGGTTGAGCCAGTTTTTGTACGATGGGTAGGCGAGGGAAGATTTTGGGTATCTCAAAGTGAAATCAAAATAATCTGCCTGTCTCTTCCAAAAGTTAAATTGTGTAATTTCTTCGTATTATGTTTGAGGTTATGAGCCTGAAATTTGGTCGTCATTAATTAAGCAATCACAAAACTTAGTCTTATGACTCACATAAGCTCTGCGTCATGGGGAATATCAGGAAGTAGGGATATAATGTACAAAACAGTCGCACAATCCGTAATGTTATATGCCTGCCCATCTTGGGGCAAAAACCTGAAAGCACCAGATTGAAATATCTTGGATCAAGCACAAAGAAGCGCTCTATTAACACAATCAAAGTCTTATAGGACCGTATCCAGTGATGCTTTACAGGTGATCACAGGCCAGTTTCCGATCGACATTAAAGAAAAAATGACTGCGGCAATATGAGAACTAAATAATCATGGTAATAGCTCACTGTGCGCACCAAAGAAGAGGCTGAAAAATGGGCAATAGATAATTATCAAAATAGATGGATAGATGGCGAGGGAAGATTTTGTCCCTCCAATTGAAGTCAAAATAGTCTGCCTGTCTCTTCTAAAAGTTAAATTGTGTAATTTCTTCGTATTATGTTCGAGGTTATGAGCCTGAAATTTGGTCGTCATTCCGTCATCTTCAGAATGTCTGTCCATTATCATTACGGTACGCCTATGAAAGAACAAAAAATGGGGACTATTTGCTTATTAAGGTGTTTTAAAGGGGTTTACCAAGAATGCAGTGAACGACAGTAGGATGGTACATAAAACTTAAATAAGAAACTTTTAGGTTTTAACTTTTCTAGATTGAGTAGTTTTTGAGAAAACCAGGGGTGATACGAGTAAGTTGTCACTGTGTATACGAAGCGTTGGAGCCAAATTAAAATTTTACCGGTCTATTAAATTCCAACATCCACTCCTGGCGGAAAAATTAAGAAAAATTAAGCAGGGAATCGTTTGAAAATTTGGACGAGAGAAGAAAACTCTTGACCATGATTGTGATAGAGACGCAAGGCGCCGACTATTGTACATATTCTGATAAGAATGAAAAATTCGATTGTTCGCGACAACTTTAATCCTGTTGCGAATGAAGAAATGACGGTAATCCTAGATTCAACGGCGTAAATCTTGAATGACCTCGCTAAAACATTTAAGTAAGGAGGAAATACATTATCCCAATTACGTTCCCTCGCCGCTGTCTACGTTCGTGTGACTCGAAATCGATAAAAGAAGGACAGGAGACGTGGGTTCTGAATTAAATTGAAACCCAGAAGGGGTTTTGTCTTTCCTTCCTTCGTCGCACATATAAAAGGCGGTAAAATATTTACGGCCCAGCCGCCTTAAACAGGTTTTTTCGGTTGGTCGCTCGCCATATCCATAATTTAGCCTAGGAGAAATGTAGCTAATTCTGCACAAAGCACACCGCCCTGCGGCACATTTCCGCCTCCGCCACTAGGTTCTTTTCCCACAACTGACGCCCTTTTATTCCACTTCTGCCCTAATTAGTTTTAAAAAATGTTTGGATTGACCTTTTCTATCTCTCACTTGACGCTTTCAAGCACTTAAAGATTTATGGTGCTAAGTGGGCCAGGATGGACACTTCTGGAATTCACGGTTCCCATTTTACCTTCTTCCCTAGGGAAGATTTATTATCATTAGCCAGATCTGAAAATAATTTAATATATGGGAAAGGAATTTGATTGGAAAAAGAGCAGTTTAATTTGATTGAGACCTTTTTTATTCCTCCCCGGGAGTGGTAGGGATTTCACCCTTTAGCATATAAACTGTCGTCTATTGTGCCAATCTCTTCTGATGGATTTCCAGGAAGATTTTCGTTTCAAGGTCAATACTTCCTCATCAATAGCTGAAGAACGGTTTTCTCAGTTAATACAACCTTTTTTATAGTTATTGGCAGTTCGATAGATTGTGTACAGTTGTCTCTGTCTTTTCTAGACAGTCGACATTGATCAGCTCATTATAGTCACATATTTTAAGGTGATGCTACACTGGAGTTCCAGTTCTTCTTATATTTGGCTATAGTTTTTGAAATAAAATGGATCTGGGATTATGTGTTGTTACGACTACTAACTAGAGACTACTACTAAGACTACTAACGAACTTCGACAATTGGTCTTAGGACTTTTAATTGGTGGGATATATAAAAAAATAAATAATATAATGTATGGAACTAAGAACGCTCATTTGTGAGACGCCTTCCTGTATAAGTATTTTATCTGATTTCTCGTTCACCTCACTCTGAAGCAGAGGTCACTTAAGGTTCAAGGATAATTTTATTAACCTTATTGGAGGTGAGTAGGAATCGTTTAAGCCTATAAAGAATGTCTCGGTACCCTACCGAAAGCTACCTTTTATCCTCTAGGGGGAAATGGTGTCAACAACTCCAAAACCTGCTGTACCGTGAAAAGATTAGGATTCACTTTTGAAGACAAAATTGTGGTAACATCAGACGGTGAGATGGTATCGGGATGTTTATGAAAGTCAATGGTATAATTGGTGTAAAGCAAGGGGCCAAGAATGCTCCCTTGTGTGAGTACTAGTCTATAAGAACACATTGCGGCACCTTATTTTGATGTTTTGATTGTTAAATAAGATTTTAGGATTAGGTGGAAGTATATTAGCACTGCTTTATTTTGGAGAGAGCTTATTTAGTTGTACCTAACTGTATATGTATATGCTCTTGAACATTAAAATCGTTCTTCTTTTTCAGCCGGTAGTCAACAGCGATGTCGCTTTTGGTGGTGGTAGCATATCCAGAGAGTTGGACAGGATGAGCGAACCGCTGATATGCGGGAACCAACAGCCAATAAGGTTCTCGCAGCCTCAGCACATCGGGGAAAGAGAGGTGATTTCAGTCCGGACGCCTCTGATGCCTAGTCAACAGGAGAGCTGCGTCTAAATCCGGCTCGGCTAAAATGATCCCATGACCCAGACACCCGGCCCTTTCCTTAATAATAATGAAATATGACTTTGGACAAGATATCATTTGATAAAAAAAAGTTTGCTTCTGGTGTTTTTGATGTCATTTCATTACTTTTGTAACTATACGTTCTGCATTTTTTAGCAGATATCTTAACAGCCAATGTTAATGTCTTTCATTAAATGTTTATACTACTAAAAAAAACAATGTGTATAATTTGTATATAACATATACATACATATGCTATATATGCTATATTTATATTGTCTATTAATAAACTTATCTACCTGTATGACTCGTTATTGAGTGTCCTGGAAACGTTTTCTTTCTTTGATATTAAAATTTTTTTGTTCCAATAGACATCCTTTTCATTCTATATAATTACTCCCACGAACGTAAATTATATCCCAATTGTCTCCTAACCTGAATCCTACCAAGCACCTCCTACAACCAGGAACACCGTGAGCTTGTCGAGCACTAGAGCAAAAATTGAAGGGCTATCTTGCTATCATCAACAACAAGAAGGTACCCACTTCCACTTAAGTCACATACATCGGACTATACCCAGACAGCAGACGTAGAATCCTCACACAAGGCTTAAGCGACAAGAATTCAACAGACGACTTGTACTTGTATTTCTTGGACCGAAATCTGTCTTGACCGTCAAAACTCAAAAATCATTATCTCAGACAGTGCTGCGACCTATATGGATTGCTACGTACCCCCTCCCCTAAAGAAAGTTCCTGGATTTGAAGCATTATTTCTCCTAACCACCTTTTCTAATGCAATCGTACGACTTCCAGACGCCATGGACTTTTCCATGCTTCTCCCAAACCCTTAACACAACGAACCACACCAAGCCTGTTTTGTAAGCAAATAATCCTCAACCGAGAATCTTCAAATATAAGCCTCGAACATCAATTTGGATTTAGGGGGCACCATTCCATTGTCGTACACCAGTGTCATCGTGTTCAGGGCATCATCCTTGAGAGAAGGACACTCGGGGGTTTTACGCAATGTCGAACAAGCTTAATCTGGAAGCTCCTACAAGCTTCTTCATCTTTAAGTTCTCCTTGGTCAACAGGTTAGGGTCGAATCCTCCTCTCCTTATACGAGGCGCACAAGGCACATGAATACGATAGAATCCTCAGCCTGTTCTGTACTTAGTATATACTGTTGACATTCCTTCCCATCCCGTCATCACTATCCTACCATTTGGTGACACTGCAAATCTCTCCTATAATTCTGACATCGTTGTTTTACTCTTTAGACACAATGTTTGAAAAAATGACGAAATAAACTCAAAACTACAAAATTCCAAAAACATAGCATTCACCCTAAATCGCATCACTACATAATACATACCTCACTTGCCTTCCTACCAAAAACGTCAGTTACTTGGGCTATATCCTAGATAAGCGATTAACCTCGAATCCCCATACACGAAAATACTACTGACAACAGATCTGATATCTCCATCGCCAACATATAAATCACCTCTGCTTCAGAGTGAGGTGCGGCAACTAAAACTCAGGTATCCACAAGGGAGCATTCTTGGTCCCATCCCATATACTAATTAAAATGGTGACTTTTCTATACATTCCAGTAACATCATTACCTTAGTACTTAACTACTTTTTTCTTTTTTTTACAATGGATACCAGGATCTGGAGGAGTTCCCTCTGAGTACTGCAGCCGTACAGCTTATTGTCCCTGGCTCAATTTTTGGGGGCGCAACACGCGTGTGAATTTGAGCCCCCGGTGTGCCGGTGTTCTTCCATCGAAGAAACTCATATTTGAAGGGGGTTGGAACCAAATTCAGGGTCGTTGAGATCTGATCCGCCCCATACCTTCCATTGATTCCGTGTCAATTTCTTTCAATTGCGGCCACCGGTTCCCCTTAGGCATCAGAAAAACAGTCCAGAAACGACGGTGGGGATCAAACCCGATCTACTAGTCGAGAGTCTGGCGCATTAACCACTCGGCTACCGCGACCCCTGTACTTAACTACATACAAGACATACTGCGATCAAACATACGGAGAGTAATTGTGGGTTCTTCCAAGCCGACCGATATCCAGCGTATCCAACATTCCGATCAAAAGTCCTAAGAACAATTGTCAAAGTCCATTAGTACTAAAATAACTTTACTATTCATAACAACCTCAACATTCCTTTTGTCTATGTCATCCATGTCTGAACTGATCCGATCCTATTTCCAAAAGTTCCACACCTTTCGAACTATCCTCAATCTACTGCCAAAGCCTTATTTGTAGTAATAAATGCAGTCCTGAAAGAATGTGGCATATTGCCCAAGGCTTATATGAATTCTAGATTTTTGTTGCTTTCCAACACTAACTCCTGACCCATACTTGAGCTTAGTGCCTTCAGTATAAACATAGGGCAATACTTATATCTCAACACCAACATTATCAGATGATACCGCAAGTTTGTCTTCTAACCCAAAATCCAACATCCAAGAACACCTTGAGCTTATCAAAAACTGCTGCAAAAAGTGGAGGACTAGACTGAATAAGGAAAAAACAACAAAATGTTCATTTTCACTGAAATTGCTCTCTAATGTGCACTTGGTGGTTAACCTATGGTACGTAGACAGCAGTCTGAAGAGGAGTCCCGACGCAAGACTTGAGAGAACCTTAACAGAAGACTTGGACAAATAAGAAGATTTTTAGGGCGGAAATCTGTTTGGTAAATATAACCGTACACGGCATTATTGCCAGCTATTACTCAGCACTTACGAAACGGTGCTGAGACTTCCAATAGTTCCACACCTCTTGACCCATCATCCTAAACCTACCCAAGCTTTATCCAAAAATATTTTGGAACCTACCACTTCGCCCTTAACGACGATGGCTTCGACACCACCTCGCTCCTTAATCTCTCGTATCGAATGCGACGGGGTTGGCTGGTTTCTCATTGCATGTGTCCTCCAGTTGTCCACCCAGGAAGTTATAGCCCACTTAATGTGGAACTACAACGACAACGGGTGGTACAGAGTGGACAAGGCTCGGGGCCCTGAAAAGGTGAACCTCGTGTCCTCGTTCACGTACCTTTCTCAATTCGGGTTCCTTCATTCTTCCTTGAGACCTCTCCCAACCCTTGGTTACAACGGGGGTGTCCAGGCTCAAAATAATGGTGCAGCCTTGAGGGCGTAGCAACCTCTCTAAAGCACAAGCTGAATTCGTGTCGACCTCGGGAAGGCATGGGGCGGCGGGTGTTTTATCAGAGGAACACGAAGGTAAGGGTACCAGATCCTGTCTGCATAAACGGGGGAGGGTGCATAACCCTCTGTACTATGGGGTAACAGAAATGTTCCAAAATTCAGCCACTATTACACTGGGAATGGACTCGTAGTTGGTCGTGGCGAGGCCCCTGGCGGGGACTTAGAGGAGAGACTGTTCTTCTATCTGTGACCTTCGCACGAGACTTGCGTATGACCATCGTTATACCCGGTCTCTCGGGATACGAAGGATCGGACAATCGAAGCATATAGCGTTGAGAACACTCAGACTACGCTGACGGAGTCTCTCGAATGCTTAACAAGTGGCAGATGGAAATGGGTAGTGAATCGGTTGCGCCTACTCGAGTGCGCTGAACACGCAGTTGTACGTAATGTGCTCGACTGGCGGCTTTTGTAGGCAGTCTCCTGTAGGGGGTCGCTAGCAATTCCAGTTTAAACAAAACCGCAGCCGGAGCGGATCCGGTAGTTTCTACGCTAGGGAAGCCTCAATACTCTGAGAGATACAGAGGCCTTCTCTGTCTAGGAAATGCGCGGGAAACCAGGCTGATGTATTTCGGCCTAGGTAGCCCTTTGCGCGTGGCATACGGTTCGATGCTTAATGCGGACCAGACCACTCGGAATGGGCAAGCGGGGAGCGAGGTTGTCTCGGGCCTTCGTGGTTGAGCTGCCTCTGCACCAATGCTGCGGCAGTAACTCACTTCAATCGTATGCGGAGGTGCGTCAGCTCTCATCTTGAGAATCAAAACGTCCGATAAGGCCGTATAGGCTAGGTGCGGACGTTGAAGATCCTCATTGGCCTTTTAAGGACGACCGAGTATACGGGAAAGCAATGTCCTCCGGTTGCATGGCTGGCAAGTATTGTAACCGTGAGAAAAAAAAACATACGTAATAGTAATTTGTATTAATATTGGGCTGGTTCAAAAATAATGCAGGTTTTGAAAAGGCAATCAAAACTATTTTTAATTTTTATACAATAATGAAAATGTTGCCAACTTGTGAAAAGCGATTTTATTCCGCTGACATAAAAATCTTTATTTCTACTCTCAATAAATTCTTGGAAGGCGTTTTCGGCTTCACCGCGTTCTCTAAACATTATGTCCCTCATGAAGTGATCAAAATGCCTAAAAAAGTGGAAGTCTCTAGGCGAGAGGTCGGGTGAATATGGAGGGTGCGGTAAGGTTTCATAACGTAAGTGCTTAAGTTCCCGCATGGTTGGCATTGCAACTTGTAGCCTGGCGTTATCGTGAAAAAGAACGGCCCGTTACGGTTTACCAATGCTGGACAAAGACGTTGCAGTTTACCGTGCATTTTGTCAAATCCTTGGCAATATTTCCCTACTGTGATAGTTTCACTTTAATTCAGGAAATTATAGTGAGCAACCCCAGCAGTACACCAGCAAATACTCACTAGAACATTTTTTGGGTGCAGATTTGGTTTCAGGAAGTGTTTTGGCAGTTCATCCTTGTCCAACCACAAACCTCCTGTTATCGCACAGAATCCATTTCTAACTGCACGTGATGATTCGATCGAGAAATGGATCATTTTGGTGGCGCAACAGAAGAGACATGCAAATTTCAATGCGTCGATTTCTTTGGGCTTCGTTCGTGCGGTACTCACTTGTCGAGCCTCCTTACTTGACCAATTTGCTCCAGATGGCGAACAACGGTTGAGGGGTCAACACTAAGCTCTTCCGTAATTTCCTGTCTTGTCTTACGTAAATTTTCTTCAATCATTGGTCGACGTCCACAATGGAAGGCCTCCCGCGACCGAAATCGAGATCGTAATCTACAAGTGCAATCTCTGAAACTATCGCTGCACCGTGGATTCGCTATTGCTTCGCTGCTTCCCTCCCCACCAGACTTGATGTTACTCGCGGTTTGGGCAGCACTTCGCACAAATTTAAATTCGTACAAATAAATTTGACGAAAATGTAGTTTGGACATATTTAATTCAGGTCCTCACTCTTATAAAATTCAGTATGACGTAAAATGTTTTGTATAAAAGATGACAGTACTTAATATAGTCCATAAATTACATTTGGGGATTTACATTGTTTACATGACAAGCACCTGAGAAAAGAAAAGAAATTTTCAAAACCTGCATTAATTTTGCACCACTCAATATGTATGCGCGGGCTAAAAATAAAAAAGAATAAATAAATTAGCCCGAAGCGAGATTATCGTATAAAAATGATAGCCATGTAATTATTGTATTTATATCCGTGATAATTTAATTGTATCCACTGGAATGGAAGGATTTATTTTTTTTAAACAACAACCGCCAGGTTCAAAAACCAGGCTGCTACGTGGAAGAGTGAGCCGGTGGTGTTTTTTGTATAAACCTCCGCTTATTTAAATCCCAGTAGGATTGGTCTTGTTGCCTCTGGGGGTTGCAATTTGAATACAAATAGAGCTTTCGTATTACGTACGTATTTATCGGAAGGAAACCTCGGAACCACTTCCTCCCCCTATATCGGCTAGTCTTATTTACATGTATTCCTAATAAAACCCATACATAATTTTTAACTCTTTAGTTAGAACAATCATAATTTGGCAGAAAAATAAAGAAAATTTTAAATTTTATATCTTATATTAACATATCTTTTTAAGATCATACCAAAAAAAATGTGCTATTTAAACACGGTACAGCATAGGGAGGCATTCCAAAGAAATAAATACAACTATGCTCTCTATGTTATCTCTAGTATGATTCTTTACCAGGGAAGGGTGCTGAAAAGATTCGGGTCTTACCAGAGGTGTGGGAGTTCCTTTTCTAACAAAGGAATCGATAATCCACTGTTCACTCAACTCTTTCTTGTTCGTTTATTTTTGCGATTTGCTCTGACTGTTGATGGTCTATTGACTTTTTGTGTTATCTCTTCAAATTAATGTTGGTACATACTTTTTATGAGCTAGATACAAAATTTATTTCGCATCGTGTCATTGATTTCATGTCACCAACAAGTGCGCATGGTTTGGGTTAGATCAGACTTGGAATGGTTAGGTTAGGGTTAAGGTTAAGTAAGGTTAGTTTAGGTTAATCGTTAGAGTTAGGAACAGGCTAGGTTACATATCCATGATTTAATGTTTTTCCGGAGAAAATTTGCGAGTGTAAAGTGCAGGTTTTAATGCATCAAGTTGGATCATTAGGTACTATAAACTTCCTAATTAATAATCGTGTGTGAATTCATTAAAATGGAAATGTATTTGGGCTGGATAGGCAATTTATTTTGAATGACCGTTTTCGTGTCATTGATTGCATGTTACCAAGAAGTGCGCATGGTTTGGGTTAGGTCAGACTAGGTATGGTTAGGTTAGGGTTACGGTTAAGTAAGGTTAGTTTAGGTTAATCGTTAGAGTTAGGAACAGGCTAGGTTACACATCCATGATTTAATGTTTTTCCGGAGAAAATTTGCGAGTGTAAAGTGCAGGTTTTAATGCATCAAGTTGGATCATTAGCTACTATAAACTTCATAATTAATAATCATGTATGAACTCATTAAAATGGAAATGTATTTGGGCTGGGTAGGCAATTTATTTTGTATGACCGTTTTCGTGTCATTGATTGAATGTTACCAAGAAGTGCGCATGGTTTGGGTTAGGTCAGACTAGGAATGGTTAGGTTAGGGTTACGGTTAAGTAAGGTTAGGTTAGGTTGATCGTTAGAGTTAGGAACAGGCTAGGTTACATATCCATGATTTAATGTTTTTCCGGAGAAAATTTGCGAGTGTAAAACGCGAGTGTTAATAAATCTGGAAAGATGATCACACACTAAATACTCCATAATAATTAATTATATGACCACTTTCCTGTCATTGATTTTATGTTAACAGGAAGTGCTATGGTTTGATGGATATAGAATAGTTAGGTTAGGTTTTGCTTAAGGTTAAGTAAGTTAATGGCTAGGTTAAGTAGTAACTCCCTGATTCTCTTTCTCTCTCTCTCTCTCTCTCTCTCTCTCTCTCACTCTCTCTCTCTCTCTCACACACACACACACACACACACACACTCACTCACTCATTCACTATAAAATAGCACATTTCTCGAAAAATGTATTTTGAATTTGATTTAGCGCAAATAAAGAAACACTATTATTGGTGTATATCAATTTGATTTGTTATGTCAACATTTTATTATCAAAATAAATAACATTCAATTAATTTATATTAACAATATTTATATCGGAGTGTACATAACAACAATTATTTCACTAATGAACTTATTACAATTGATAATATTACATATAAACACATTATTGCAAAATAATTATACATTTATTTATACCATAGATAACATAGTCAAAATAAATAATTAGTGTGCTATAATATAACAATGTTCTTCTTCGCGTTGTAACAGAGAACATGGTGCAACTCTGCTTAATTATCATATTTTAGTGCGATCGTGTAATCGGTTATTGTACATTAAATTGTGTTATATGTGTGAGAATTGGTAAAGTTTATTTAAAAGATTCATCATTGTACATGGGATTAGTGAAAAATTATTACAAATTGCTCAATTAAAAAAGTTACGTTTCCAACAATCGATAAATTCATGTGCTTTTTATGCAAAATTTCTGTTGTAATGCGTTTATGCCAGATTCATTTTGGCATGAACATTTCGTATAATATTACATTGCAAAAAATTAATATCAAACTAATTTAATTAAACAATATAAATTTGTAGTTATAAGAAAACATTATTTGTAAAAAATCAATATATAAAATACGAATCATTGACACAAGTGTAACTGTTTACATCATCAATACAGTTTAAAATACTTTACAAAAGAATATTAATATATATTAACAGGAATTCGATTTAGTTTCTCTTAGAACTGTTTATAAGATATTTGCAACAGTGAGTGAGAAGGTATTTTTCTGGGGTTCTACCCATTTCTCTTGTGTATATATCCAACCCATATTGTCCTTCCTCGGGAAAAGAAAGTGAAAATGTCACCATATCACTGTCCGCTATAGCGTAGGATACATATTTTGATAATCTCTTTTCCTCGATACCATTCTTATGCAACGTCGCCATAAAATCTATCAAAGGCCTCGACATTCTAAATTGTATTTCAAGTTCCCGTCCAGCAAAAATCAAAGCCTCCTACAAACAAAACCCTTAATTATGATCTAATTTTGATTACATAATGATTTAGATTGTTTAATTTTTCATAATAAAGAAAATGGATTGTTAACTGGTCGACCGAAAATTGAATGAAATGGTTTTTTTTCCATTTATATATTCTAAATAGTTTATTGTTGTCGTTTTACCTGGTGTGTTATTGGTATCAATCCAAAGAGTCTTGTAGCTTTCGTCGGACCCCACTCTCCGCTCGCACAATCCGGTAACGGCACCATAACTGTCTGTAAATCTTCGCACATGATTTTAAATTTGCAAACACTTTTAAATTTCATCGGTTCGCCTGTCAGGTATTCTTTAGGTGTGACAGTGTTTGCGAAAATGTCGAGCAAAAACGCTCCGCTGCTCGGTGCATGGACTCTAAACGAGACTATGTTGCCTAAAACAGACTAAGGAAACATTTATTGAAAAAATTAAAACAGTACTAGTGTGTTATTAATAAAATTATTATAAAATTTAACTCGTTTAGTGACCGGTAGTCAATGATTATTCGGAGATCGTGAAATGCGGTCTGGTATGACGTAGGTTTCAGAAAAACATTTCCTTTATCGTGTCAACGTTTCGATCTTTATTGAGATCATCTTCAGGGCACAAAGTGTTTGTTTTCCGTGTAGATGTGTCATTCTTGTCTGTCGTGTTGATAGCGCTCTCATTTTTGTCACACAACGGACAAGAATGACACATCTACAAGGAAAACAAACACTTTGAGCTCTGAAGATCTCAACAAAGATCGAATCCCGCTCGTGCCACTGACTTTTTTATCTCGACTTAAAACCTTAATTAATTGGATGATATTAATTGGTCAAGCGGACCACGAAAAATAGTGAATTTAATGAACTAAAATGAAGTATACTTCACTAAAGTGGCCATTTCATTTGTCGTCGAGAATCCAATCCGATTACACGACATTTGAAAAATGGCAAAAACCAGGGAAAATTCAAAAGGGTGGAAGTTAGTGTCCGAGGGGATCGAAGTCACGATAGTTCAAGTGGTAGAGTAGCGGCGTATCAAGCCGAAGGTCGTGGGTTCGAATCCCGCACGTGACACTGACTTTTTTATCTCAATTTAAACCCTTAATTAATTGAAAGATCGAAACGTTGGCACGATAAAGAAAATGTTATTCTACAACCTACGTCACACGAGACCGCATCTCACGATCACCGAATAATCTTTAACTTCATGTTTAACGACGTAACAACGAATAGACAAACTTTCAACTACTCAACAAAATTATACCTAAGCAGACTGCTTTTCGTTAGTTTCATTAAAGAATTAACACTCCATTACTGTGAAAGTTTGAAAAGTATGATTTTACCCTCTAATAACTGCTTTTAACCATTTTCAATGCGGGAATGTTTTTGTTGAAAAAACCCCGTTAGGTGACATATTTTTTTAAACATATTTTTTTTGTAAAGTACATAATAAAAATTAATTAGGCATATAATCGTCATATTTGTTATTACAAGTTGGAAAAACCAATGAAGTACGTAAATTGACCTCCTCCATAACTCGCGTAAACCCGAGTTATGCAATCGGCACAATAGGCCTCACGAAATCGCAAAAGTGCCGTTTTATTCGAAAATTCGTTCAATAATAATTTTCAAGTTTATGCTCATTTTTAAGCTTTATGTAAGGGTATGGGTTGAGATAAAAAAAAGTCAGTGTCACGAGCGGGATTCGAACCCACGAGCTTCGGCTAACCACTTGAGCTATTTAATTTTTGATAATACAAAGTTCGACGATTTCGTGAAAAAACAAATATCGAATAGTTAAAACATTAAGCTAAAGCCATTAGATTTCATGGTCCGATTGACCAAATAACTTCTTTCAATTAATTAATCTTTAAGTAAGGTATTGGTTGAGAAAAAAGTCAGTGTCACGAGCGGGATTCGAACTTCGATCCACTCGGACACTAACTTCCCACCTCTACCCAACCTTTCGAATTTTCCCTCCTTTTTGCCATTTTTCAAATGTCGTGAAGGTCGGGGGTTCGAATCACGCTCGTTACACTGACTTTTATCTCAACCCATTCTTTACATAAAGATTAATTAATTGAAAGATGTTATTTGGTCAATCGGACCACGAAATCTAATGAACTTATTTTTAAGGATAATTCTTTTAATGAAATGAAAATTGCGATATTATGTACAATAAATTATATTATGATAATATGTATAATTAGACATATTTCAATTAATTATTCTTTTTATCTGAGGTCTTGGTTGAGATGAAAATGTTAGTGTCAAGAGCGGGATTCGAGCCTACGACCTTCGGCTCAATACGCTGCTGCTCTAACCTCTTGAGCTATCGTGACTTCACGTTGACCTTAACTTTTTCATCTCAACCAAGACCTTAGATAAAAAGAATAATTAATTGAGACATGGATAATTAGAAATATTCATTAAATTTATGTAGTAATTTAAACAAATCTCTCGATATAAGTTTGTATATTTACCTGCATGACGAATCTTTTCAAGCTGACCCCATCATAGGAATCTCCATCACTATCATAAAATTTAAGGTTATAGTGAAATATCAGACTTGATTGCATGTTTGTTGGCATTGCTATTCGTACAGTTGCAGCACCTTTAAAATAAAAACTATTGTTACATTGTTATAATATTACATTACATTCTCCACTTCCTACTTTTTAAACTTAGTCTAGCTTGTACTATAAATTTTGTGTCCGATTGGTTATAAATGCTATTTGTCAATTTTTCTTTTGGTTATTTTCTATTTAGATATTGATTGCAAATTTTTCATTACACAAATATTGTGGAATTTTTCCAATATAAAATTATAATCAATCAGCAATGACCTTTAATATTCTTAATCTTCAATTTTTACATACAGCTTAAACTAAAGAATAGGCAATAAAACGTTACCTGTAGCATCGGTGAACATAACAGCTTTTGTGTGAGAATCTGGAAAGTAGAGACCGTATCGGAAGAACAAAGATCTGACGAATGGAAGCTCTTCGAATTCCTGCAATGATATGGAAATCTTCAGAAGCTGCCATTCGGACTGGAGTGGGAAAAATTCGTAAATGAATTCACGGGGGTCGGTTAAGAAGTAATGATCATCATATTCGTATCTGAAACAAACCAGTCATAAATTGTAATGCGTTAATAATCGTTGGTTTTAATCACTTGTTTACTATTAATTTTAAGCTATACATTATAACTTAAAGTTATAAGTAAAGTTACATTCGATTGTTTTGTTTAAGTTAAATTGACTATTGGAACGTTCTTTCTTGAGTGCTTATATTTGTTCATACTTCCAGTCCTTTGCATTCAATGCAGAACAAATAAGGCAAATTGGATAGTTTTCAATTATAGTATTTTCTCGCAGCCATTATCTGATGTTTCCTCTTGAGATTATATTGATTGATGATTATAATATTCCATCTATTTTACCTTTGCCACATCGTTTTTATATTCTGATGGAACCTTTTGCTAAGTTCTTTACTCCAATCCCCAAGAACTTTAGGAAAATACTGCAGAAGTGCATTTTCATACTCATGTTACATCCAACTGGTTTAAAAAGTTGAGCATATTTTTTTTTCTTGTTACCTAGAAACCTCTCTACTAAAGACTTGAGGCTCATCTCTGCATGATTTTCACTGTTGAATTAAACTCTGGATTTTTTCATCAGTCCCACTTTGACATACAAAACTGGAAGCCTAATCTTACTGAGATAAAAGTTTTGTATATATATTTTAACTATGAAATCAGCCTTTTTTTTTATGTCCACAACATAATGTTTTACCATTGCTCAACTATCCACTTGCAAATACTTCTGTATGAGTTTCATACCTCCAGCTCAGCTCTGTTTTTTAATCAAATCATATTGAAGTGCTCAGTTAATAGGGTGCCAGTGTTTTTGAAAAAAAAAAATTTGTAAGTATGTTGGGTTTGAATGCAGGGCAGCTGGATTCGAACATGGAACCTTTACTTTACAGTGATGAGCGCCGTGTCAACGTCTAAACCATTGCAGCCACCCATGCCTAGTACACTTAGCCTAATTTATTTAAAAAGTTGTCTGATAGAAAAAACTGAGTTCATATTCATGTTTAGCAACCAGAAATCAATCAATCAATCAATCAGAAACTAGTGTTTTTTTAATGTTTATTAATTAAAATTATTACATAAAATTGTAGGAATATAAAACTATCACACTATAGACTCGTAATCATTAATTATGTGTTTGGATTCATTAAAATGGAAATGTATTTGGGTTGGATATACAATCTATTTTGCATAACCATTTTTGTGTGATATATTTCATGTTACCAGGAAGTGCACGTGAGTTGGGTTAGGTGAGGTTGGGAATGTTTAAGATAAGGTTAAGGTTAAATTAGGTTTAGCATTTGGGTTAGGGACAGGTTAGATTACCTATCCACGAGTCAATGTTTTTCTGGAGAAAATATGCAAGTGTAAAGTTCAGGTTTTAATAAATAGAGTTAGATCATTACACACTATAGACTCTATCATTTGTAATTGTGTGTTTGAATTCAATAACATGGAAATATATTTGGGCTGGATATGAAATTTATTTTACATGACCTTTTTCATGTTACCATGGAGTGCGCATAAGTTGGGTTAGGTTAGGTTAGGGATGATTAAGTTAGGGTTAAGGTCAGGTAAGGTTAGGTTTGGCTTAGTGTTAGATTAGGGATAGGATAGCTTACATTTCTATGATTTAATGTTTTTCTAGAGAAAATACGTGAGTGTAAAGTGCAGGTTTTAATAAATCAAGTTAGATAATTAATTAGAAATTATCATCATAACCTTTTCTGATACAACTGTAATGTGTTAAGTGCTTCACATTACTCCAAAGTAGTTATTTTCAATTGTACAAATATTATGTAATGATTTAATAATAAAATTTGCCACAATAAAGAACATTTACCTTAAACTGTCTGTTTTTGCTAATTTAGCTCCTGCTTTGGGGACTTCTTTTGCATTAACAAGATGTCTTGCACCCCAGTTGCACTGGACGAATCTCCAAGCTCCAGCTACATACACTGCATTCCACGAATTTCTGAATCGGTTGTCTTCAAAGGAAACACCAGGTTGGTAACCTGCTGATTTTGAATACCCTTTGATAACAACACAGTGCAGTCCAGCATAACTGAAAATTATAAATAATATATTGCTGTAAAGAAGCATGGGCTATTACTTACTAGCCTAGCTACCACTTATATGCATAGCTTCAGTTTTTCTTATATGATTTAATTCTGGTTTTACCCCGAAATATTTCCACAACAAAATATAGCATATTATTTTGCAATATATATTTTTCAGTGTCACAGCTTGATCTTTTAATTGTAATAATTACCTGCAAAGCCTTTTGAAAAGGACATGGTAACTTTCAGTCCCATGTTTGATACCTCTCAACAAGCCCATGGGTGTGTCACCGCGGAGATTTTCATCGAACTGCATAGTGTTCAGATTTTTGACTGTGATCCATCGGAATATTGTTCTGAAAAATAAAAAATCATCAAATACGAGAATAGAGCATACAAAAACTTCGGCAGCGTGTACATTGAAATTTGTTTCATTTGGCAAACTTTAAGCTTTTTTATAATTATTGCAAAGTGTTGTGTGGTCTGATCCTTACAGACCGTAAGCAGTTTAATCCTCCCTGATCATCCTAGCTAGCTTATTTTTACTGTATGTTTTCATTAGATACATCAAAAATTACGGTGAGTATAGGAAAATCAAGACAGAACAAATTATTAAAAAATATCTTTAAAAGTTTTTCATAATCTATAATTAAGTTATGCATCCCTTTCTGTATCCAAGCTGTATTTAAAAAAAAGAAAAATCACCTTGCTTTTTCAATATCAGATCCACATCGGCCTACTAATTGTCGTACCAAATCTGTAAAGGTTTTCTGATCTTCTTGGGCCACCTGAAAACAGCACAAATAAATAGATTTATATTTCATTTAAAGTTTAAAGTATCATAATCAATAATAATTACAGATATTGCTATTTCATCGATATAGGCAAATTCGTTGGGATGCGAATAGATATGGTATTTTGGTAATGAAGGAGGAGCTGGACTCGGGGCTTGACTTGGATACGGAGCCACTTCTTCTTGTCCTTGAGGCTCCAAATAAATGCTTTCTGCCATCATGTACTGAGAACGCTTTTCATTTATAAGCTCCAACATTTCCCTGCTCTGTTTTTCAACAAGTGCAGCTGTAGCAGCTCTGGAAAAAAGTCATTGTATCAAATTCAATAAATTTGTATTATTACAATTATTTTCTTACAAGCAAACCTATGAGTATTCTGACTTTGTTTCTTGGATATACAATTTTACAGAGTACAGTAAGAAAAGAGCTAAGGATTTATAATGACCGAAGTCAAATATGGAGCATGTTAGCAGTTCATTTGGGGTTATAGAAAAGGAGGAAATCCAACACATTGGGATACATAAACTGGCAAATTGGATGATCAAACAGTCAAGCATAACTATTAGCTATTGAGAAAACTCTTTGATGGATTCAAGGAAAGGAAAATGTCATGAGAGAAAAGGCTGTTTTGACATAAAATTTAATTGCTAAAATCAATAAAAAGATCATGACAAAAACAGCTTAATAACTCTCTTATAACATAAATGATGTCTAAAGGATGAAAAATAGCAATATATCAGTAAAAAACCACATTAGCTCACTGGCTGATCGCTAGCTTTTGAGAAACGTCATGAAGACTGTTGTGCCATGATACAACAAAAGGAAGCCACATGAAAACAATATTCTACCCTACAATAATAATTGGACTTTCACCCCTTGAGGGTTGTTACTCTCTGAGATGCTATCCTTAGGGTCTACACCTCACAGAAGTTCACCTATCTNAATGTAGCTGGATCACTTTGAGCTAAATGCTCAAAGGCTTCAATACCCGACCAACAGAGTTAAGCTCCAGGGGCTTTCAACACCTAGGTCATTTTGCCCAAAAACATCCAAAATATAACCTAGCCTAAACTAAGAATACAATCACACAAATAAATACATTCATATCATGTTCATTCATTTTAGTTATGAGTGACTTGGTATTGCTCCACGACTCGTAATAAGCTAACCTATGTTAGGGTCAATGGGGTACTTTCATAAATATTACTTCATCAATCCTGAGCACACACACTACTGGGGTGTGGTGACTCTATATTTCGCTTCTGCGCAATGGCAAAACTGTAATCATTGAAGTTCTTCTGAGATGCAATCATTGCTAGCTGAATATTTATTACAATGAATTAAATGAAACCAAATATTAAAATACCCCAATTCTGTCACGACTGGAAGAAACAAGTCATATTTGAAAAAATAATTATTACTGGCAAGGCTTGCAAAAACCACAACCTTTTGTTCTTAATTTTTTTAAAGAGTAAGAAATTTAAACTATTTTAGTTATATATTACCTTTCATGCTCCAAGAGTTTTCTGGTAAGGCTTTCCTTTTTCCTTTCCCGTCTAATGGTCATATTTTTTTCAAGATCATCCCGTTCCTGCTGTAGCCTAAGGGTGAGAACTTTGGTATCTTCAGGCCTTTTTCTTTTAGCAGTCATTTCTCTTTCGAACCTGGAGGTTAACCTTTCTAGCTCCTTTTCCCATTCATCCTTTGATTCAAAAGAACAAATAGACAATTATGGATAGTGCAATTGTGTCTTAATCATTTAGCACATTTGAAATATAAACTAGCTAAATTCAAAAGATATAATTATATCAAATGTGAATAACAGGCAAGTTTGACTATTCAAATTGATCTTCAAATAATTAAATATTGATTTAGATATATCAATTTATTATATAAGCAGCAAACAAATAATTTTAAAATGTAATGTTAGATTCCAGTTTAAAAAAATATGCTTGTAAAAAGTATAAAATACTTACTCTTATTTCATCTTTAATTCGTTTATCTTCTTCTTCTCTTTGACGCATAAATTTTCGATACAAGTCATCTTCTTCTTTGCGGTGCTTCATTTCAAGGCGGGTCTGTTCATCTTTATCCTTAACAAATAAAAAAAAAATTAATAAATAAATTTTCATGTAATTCTCAAGAAAGTACACCTAAATAATTAATCAGGCTGAAATTTTTTATCTAAGTTAAATGGATCAATCCAGAAAAGGTCTTTATTTTTAATCTACACAATTATTACTCCAAAAACCTTTCCTCTTTGCTGTTAGGATCTGACTACATTTTCTCGGGTGGTGTGGGGAAGGGGAACTGGGAAGGGTTTCTAGTTGCACAAGCATTCTTGGAAATTGAAAAATAATAAATTTATCTCTTAATAGTTTTAATAAGTTTATGAGTGCATAGTTTAAGCGGATAACTCCTCCAAGCCCAAACAAAGCCCCCGAGGGTTGCTGGTTGTTGGGGGTGGCGGTAGTTGGATTTCGTCTGCGATGGTGATACCACATGAAGACTCCATAGCCTGATGCAATTATAAACAAACAGTAGAATGGTAATGTCTATATGCTTATTGATGTTGACATATAAGATGTCTGGATGACTGGAGAGATATGATTGAGGGTTAGCTGTTTAAGCCCCAAATTTTTAATGTTGACAGAGAATTTGAGTTGTTGATTAAGTACAAGTTCAATGATTTGGCAATATTTGGGTGACCAGAAGTTCGGTCGAGTAATAAATTCTTTGTTCCAGCAGATTACTGCACTGTTGTTATTGTTAATTAAATATATTCCTTTTAATGGCTGTATTAGGGTTCCATTGTGTCTAATTATTCTAATAGTTTTATCCCTGTGGAGTACAGTTAAATATTGGTTGAGCCCAGGTATCCACTGTGAATTTACAATGTGACAAATCGTAAAAGTGAAGTATTGCTTTCTAGCACAGGTTGTTCTGTTGGTTGATTTGTTCAGATAAGCATAGGTATTTAGACTAATTTGCTTACAATTACCATTTAAGCTTTCAATATTTACGTTATGAATATTCGTTTTGGGTTTCATCATTTTACATTTGGTACAATTGTAATGAATTTTGATTCATGTTCTTTACGTACAGATAGTAATTTGTAAAGTGTATAATCATTATTATTATCAAATTGGAAGGTATGCTCCCCGTTGAAAATTTCCTCATGACCCGAACGTGTGTCTAAATACAAAATAGGAATACATTTTCCTTTGTAACATAGTTTATTATCAATAACATAAAAGGAGGGAAAATTCAAAAGGTGCGGTTGAGATGGGAGGTGGATCGAGGTCACGATAGCTCAAGTGGTAGAGCAGCGGCGTATCAAGCCGAAGATCGTGGGTTCGAATCCCGCTCGTGCCATTGACTTTTTTATCTCAACTGAAAACGTTAATTAATTGTAATTATTTATTAGTTTTTATTCATTTGTAAGTTTGTTTGTTTATTTATTATTTATATTACATTAGGATGTCATTTAGGCAATCAATTTTCACGATCACATCCACTAGATGTAGGCTGGTAGTTTTGGCGAATTATATAACGGACATTTTATTTCCAAAACCAATAAATTTTTTTATAAATAAACGGGTACTACACGTGTCGATTAACATTCTAGTTTTCCTCTCGGGATCAGTAAATTATGGTCATCCGTTTCCCAAAGATTGTAAATTCATTATTTGAAATGTGTCCTTTATTGATTTAACCCTAAAAAATGATATTTTGCGGTTTCTGTTTGACTATGAGATTCATTGGGTATTTCAGAATCAGAAGGTTCTTACGTTTCCATCTAAAAACCTTGTGGTTGATGCTTAGTTTGGGAATAATTCGTTTTCTAGTCGAGATGCTCATTGGGGTTGGTTTGAGGGGGTTCTGTGTCTGTACGTTATGTCTTTGTATCGGGTGCTCTGACAAAATTGCATTTGGGACGAATAGGATTTAAATTTCTATAAGCTTTATTAGGGGGTTTTCTGTCAAATGAAGAAAATTGGGTATCTTATCCTTAATATTTCGCGAAAACCATTCAATAATAACTTTTCAGGAGGGCGTCGGTGGCCGCAACGGTTTAAGCCAGGAACACACCCGATTCTACGCCATGCGACGCTACCCGATGCTACCCGACTCCTTGCCACGTTTTGGTGGGGTGTGCACATCTATCCGACGCAAGCACACGTCGCGTACAGTCCACAGCGTTTATCACACTAATCACTATCACAATCGCAACGCATCTTTTATTCTTAATGCACTATTTTAAGCAAAACCTTGTAAAAATTGTTAGTTAAATTTTATGAGCACAACCATCTAATAAATTGTTCGTTAAACTTAATTGTTTTAAATAAAGTTACTCCTAATCATCATAATTAAACAATGTTTATAAAAACTTATGCATTTTTGATCTCGTTTAATTTGGTTTACATTAAAATAATATGCTGTAATTAATATAACGACAAAATTACACGTACTTAGTTTGAAATAAACTACAACAAATATGAGTGTCCTGTTCTGATGCTACCCGACATTAGAAAATGGTGCGAGCAAAACGATGAAATAAATTGTTAATTAAATTTTATGAGCAAAACCGTGTAATAAATTGTTCCAATTTTAGTATCTGAACCGAAGCGAGTACAATAAATTGTTAGTTAAAGATTAATTTTCTACCAAACCATTAAAATTAATTTTTTAAATAAAAACTAATTAAGTTTTAATCACAGTTAATTTGGTTTCTATTAAAATAAGTATGTTGTAATTAATATACCAACAATAATACTTGTAGTTTGAATAAAAATATGAGTGTCCGGTTCTTTTGTCTTCGACTGTACTCAATGCGACCCGACGAAAATCTGGACAGTGGGGATCGAAGAGCGTCGGGCAGGTTAGCGTGGCATAGCATCGGGTAGATGTGCACGGGGGTAACACAGTCTTATGGAAAATTGGACATTGGATTTGCATCAGGTGGTTTCGGGTAGCGTCGCATGGCGTAGCATCGGGTAAGTGTGTTTCTGGCTTATGTGTTGTTTATGATAAGTGTGGCATCCGGGGGGGGGGAGAAAAAGGGAGCTTGTGTTAATGTAAGATTTTTTAAAGAGGGTTCGCAACAGCAACGGTTATATCAACCCTCGGGGTGCCGATGTTTTTGAAAAAAAAAGTCCATTTGTAAGTATGTCGGGTTCAAATGCAGGGCCGCTGGATTCGAACCCGGGACCTTTACCTTACAGTGATGAGCGCCGTGTCAACGCCTAAACCGTTGCAGCCACTTTATTTTCACACCATAAAACATGGTGGCAGCTTTACAGCTACAGTGGTGTCAATAATAAGGTAAACTTAAACATTCTAGTGATAAAACTTTTATTTACGTAGACACATGTGGTGCTCTCGGCGTATAGGTTTGTTGACTTCGCAGACCAGCTGTTGTAGTTAATATGGTGAATCAAGAAATAAAAGTAAACCCCATATGAAAGGAAAGAAAATATTGCTTCCAAAGAGAACGGAGAACATGTCATCCCTGAGATGAGACCCACCGCAAACCCCGTGAATATTTCGTTGCCCACCCCAGATCCGTTTAAATTTCAACCCAGTGAATGGCCGCAATGGAAAAACCGCTTTCAACCGTTTCGAAGAGGGTGTGGACTGAACTCTGCAGCAGAAGAACAACAAATCGACCTTCTGATATATAACATGACAGAGCATACGAAAGTTTTTCGCCATTTTCTCCACCGCCATCTAAATGAGAAGGACGATAAAACGATTTGAGGATTGCTTCGGGCCTCGAAGGAACTAGGAGCGAAGGAGAGCTAAATTGTTAAAATAGACGCAACGAAGCGAATCAACGAAAAGGTTATTACCAATTTGCATAGCCTTTCAAAAACCTGTGAATGGGGAAGGTTATACGATATGATTTTGCTTTTTCTCATCATTGGAATGAATGAATCTAATATAAGTGACAAATTATAACTTGACTTAGCATTGACCTTAGAGAAAGCCATTACTTGCTTAAGACAACACGAATAACTCATACGCCAAAAACAAGCTCTCCAGGAACCCACTATCGCCGTAATAAACAAACATCTGTTAAATAAGGTGTTTCAAAAGAGCTAAAATAATTCAACCTCCAGAAAGAAGATTGAAAGCCAGCAAACATTTACTAGATGTAGGTATGACTGGCATGCCAGGCTGATCAATTACTCGGCAATAAACGCAAAGTGTAACGCCTGCAGTTTGATTCGTCACTTCAGCAAAGTGTGCAATAAAAGAAAAGACCCGGAAATAAACACGTGCGCACAGTGCAGCAAGAAATAGATTCGGGAGGCGAAGATGTCGTTTTCATTAATGTAGTTAGGACCAAACAATCAAGCTACATGGACACAGACATTACAGGTGGAATTTAATGAGTTGACCCTCAAACCGTTCGTGTTCAAACTGGAAAAAGAAGCTGACTTCAATATGACACCTGCCCGATTGGTAAGAGACACCATGTCAGAATTGCCTATCAAACTACCAAGAAGCCGGGTATTCAGTGCCAAAAACCAAGAACAATTTAAAGTATTGAGTACTTTGATATTACATCTAAGATATAAAAACAGTAAAATATCTGGAAAATCTATACATATCCGAAAAAATCGATTTGGCACTACTGAGCAGAGGAGGTTTCCAAAGGCTGAACCTTGTCATAAACCCTGATTTAGACTAGTTTCAGGAGTACCCTTCACTCCTCAAAGACTTAGGCAACATGGAAGGGGAACACAAAGTTGAAATAAAAAATAACGCAGAACCATATGCCATATCAGCACCTAGAGGCATTCCTATTTAGCTAAAAAAAACCCAAGTAAAGGATGCTCTAGATGATATGCTAAACTAAGGAGTTATTTTCCCTGTAGATCACGCCACAGATTGGTACGCGCCAATGGTAGTAACCACTAAGAAGAATGGAGGAGTACGCATGTGTCGACCTCTCTCATCTGAATAAAAAAATAAAACGCCAGTTCCACCCAATGCCACGAATGGAGCTGCAGTTGGGAGAACTTAGTGGGGCATAATACTTTGGCAAGCTTGTCCTGACAAAATACTCCATAAAAGATTGTACAAC